GGGATTGTGTGAAATATTCTGCACAACAAAAGGGGTTTCAACTTTCCTAGTTATTCCCAGACGACTTTTGACCTGCGGAGCACTTTCGTCTGGGAGAGACCTTAAATCGGAGCATCTGGTGAAAAGTCTGCATACCATGCAGGAGAAAGTTGAGTCCCTGAGAGATGAAGCGATATGACTAACGTCAAGGGCCTGCTGGTGGCACAGATAATCCTGAGAACTCCAGCCTCCCCAGAGCCACGGCCCAGAGCTCCTTATTCACCTCATGCTCACTCCGGAACTGAAAACCTTAGTGTCTTTTGTTGTTATTGTATCTTCTCTTCTTCTTTCATGCCTTAAATATTGTGCCACAATCATCTAAAATGACATGGATCAACACTAACAACAGCTTGTAGTGATTGCCAACTAAAACAGGAGTTGTGTAATTCTACTCTGGTTCCTAGGAGTAAAGAGTTTTGAACAGAGAACATTTAACAGTGGGAGATGTAAAAATGTATGGACAAGGAATATGGAAGAGCCTAATAAATTAAAGAAATTTGGTAAGCTCTCTTAATATGATGTTTTAAGAGAAGAATATGAGCATATTTCATGCTGATGAACATGGGAGCTCTGTATTCCAGCAAGGGTTTAGGCCGGATTCTGTTTCTTTCCTAACTAGGGAAGATTCCAGGGGGTGGGGAGGACTTCAAGTATAAGGTAAGGGGAAAGTTTATGAATGGTATCACAAAGGGTGATCTGGCAGGGGCAAAAACTTAGACCTGGACTGTCCGATACAATAGCCCCTAGCCACGTGGGGCTAGTTCCGTTGAAATTATTAAAATTAAATAGAATTTTAAAACCCAGGTCCTCCATCACACTAGCCACATCTCAAGTGCTCAAGAGCCACATGAATCTCTGGTTACTGTATTGACCTGCACAGATGTAGAACATTTTCATCACTGCAGAAAGTTATTTTGGACAGCACTGAAGGGGAGGGACGGATGAATGGGGGAAAGGGGAGCACAAGGTAATGCTGATCAGAAAAAGGATGCACTAGGGTAGGAGACACGAGGGAGATGAGATACACTGAAATGACCCAGGGAAAGATCTCGAAAGGGGTTTGATCTTAGATGCAAGGCAGTGGCTAAGTTTTAAATATGATGCAACTCTGGGCAGAAGCATCCCTGTGGTTTTGGCTGGTAGATATTCCTCTGTACAAAGATAAAAGTGTACCTTCTGCAAAACTATGGGAAAAAAAAAAAGCTGAGTGGTTTCCCAGGACTGGGGAAGGGAAGTGAGGGAGGGAGGAGTGTTTGGGGGATTTTTTGGTGAAAAGATTCTGTAGGATACAAAAATGGTGAATACATGTTATTTTACATTTCTCAAAACCAGGAGGATCTACAACACAGAGTGAACACTAATATAAACAATGGACTTTAGTTCGTAATAATCTATCAGTATAGTTCATCAGTTATGACACATGGGACACGTGATTGCAAGATATTATAATAGGGGAAACTGGTTGGGGCATGGGAGGGAGTGGGTAGGGGTAGGTAGGCGTACTTGGAAACTCTCTATACTTTCTGCTCAGTTTTTCTATAAACCTAAAACTGCTCTAATAAATAAAATTTTATGAGTTAACTAGTTCCCATAAAATATTTTCAAGCACTCAGAAAGTCTTCATTTTCACATAAACAATGAGATGACAGCAAAACACATTAATCTAGTCTCAGCTGATAATTTTATATAATTATATATTTACATCAATATTTGTCATTAAAAAAACAACAACAGTACACTGTCTTCCAGATGTCCACAGCACAGTGTCAGGCACTCATCTTGGTGAACAGAATGCCAGCTGGATTTTAGTCTATACTCGCCACCTGTCTTTGTGCAGTGCACAAACTGCACAACTGTACACAGTGGCTCTACAGGAACCCCATCCATTATGACATGGGGCTCCAAATAGAGCAAGTGAGGTTGTAGTGAGGGGGACAAAGGATGACCATCTCTGTAGGGTGCCAAAGACTGACTGAAAAAAGAGTCTGTTGAGAATGGATCACATTAAGCCGTATGAGAGAGAGTGTTTTTCATTAATGGAGAGCCAAGAGTCCTGAGAGACCCTGAGAAGTGGCAGAAAAGTGGGGTGGTAAGAAATCTAAAGGGACGTGGGAGACCAAAGCCAGGAAGGCACGAGACAAATCACAGCAATACTCTACCTAGAAGCTGATGTCTGAGACCCAGCAGCTGCCTCTCTGAGCTGGGATTCAGTTGAGAGTAGCCTTGGCAAATGCGGTTTTGCCGAGAGAAGAGCAGGGCGCTGGCGGGAGGCCCAGCTTCTGGGAGAGAGGTTAGGATTCGAGGATGTTCATCCTAGGAGCCTGTATATGCACATATGGCGTAGTCCAGGGGCTGGAAGGAAAGAGGAGAAGGAAATGCATCCCAACAATGACTGGAATGCATCAGCTGTGCAAAATGAAACTCCTGGGAAAACCTAGCCATGTCTTGGATTGTGGTTCAAGGAACTAGTAATGGGATAAAAAGCTTTCGCTTCCAGGCCAGCGGTGTGAGCCCAGCCCAGGTTAGGAGTTAGCCCAGTGCTTCAGATGTCAGCGTGGAAGGAACTGATGGGGCCGGTCTACCTTCTAGTATTGGAGTAATCCTGAAAAGAACCACCTGCTCAATAGGTAATCCTAGCAGCCAGCTTCACAGAACGACTGGGGTGGGGGTGGGGGGGCAGATGAATTGTGGTATCTGCTCATTCTTAGCTCTGAAGGGAGTCCCTTCAGAATAGGACTGGAGCACTCTGGAAAATTTCTACTGCTCCTGAGTATATAGGTCAGTGCTTCCTTAAGCGTGGACCTTGGACCCCTGTCTCCAAATCATGTTGGGACGCTCATTAACAAGGTCCACTTCCAAGGCCCACCCTAGACCAAGGAAATCAGGGATGGGGTCTGGGAATTGGCATTTCAGTCAGTTTCCTGAGTCATTCTTACGCATCCTGCAGTTTGAGGGTAATTCAGGTAGATGGGTAGTTCTCAAGCTCAGCCATGCTTCGGAATTACGGGGAGGACTTGTTAGCGCACGCATTGCTAGCCCCGCCTCCAGAGCTGTCAGTCAATTCAGCACCGGGGGGTGGGGCCTGAGAACTGACATTTCTAAAAAGTTCCCCTGCGATGTTGCTGGATTTAGGGACCCCACTTTGAGAACCACTGGTGTAGATGAAGAATCTGTCTTCACCTGGCAGCTTCTTAAAAGCTAAGAAAGTTGTAAAATTCCACTTATTATTCCTCTGCATAATTGAACTAGCTTCTACCATCCTGTTATTCAGGTGACTAACAACACCCATGACCTCTTTTTCACCTTGTTAGATAATTTAAATTTTAAATTAACAACACAAAGGGATCTCACCTGGCCAGCCCTAATCTTGTATGTTGTCCTAATTCCAAATGTTTACATTGTCATCAGTCCTGTCTCTCCTGTCTGGTGGTGACCTGCAGAAAACCCTTCAGCTTTGTGTTGCCTTGGGCTCCAAAAACTAAAATCAGCCCCTTTCTTCACTTGCCATAAAGAGATAACCCTGGGGGGGAAAAAAGAGAGAGAGAGAGAAACCTGGAAATATTCTGAAATTCAGAAAGAGTTATTTCGGGGCGCTTTCTGGGACAGGATGTCCCCACCATCAGCTAGAGGAAGCCCAGCTTCTGCGAAGCACTGTGTTGCCTTACAGATCAAAGGGAGTCATTTACTGAAGGGAGGGGTGGGAGTATGTGCTAAGGCCCCCCTGCAACCCCCGCCCCCCCGCCCCGTAAACAGGATAAGCCCTATCAGTGAAAGCTTATACACAGCCAGGCCACAGTCCCCGGTAACAATGGAGCAGCAAGAACAGTGGGTGGCAAGGAAAGGTCCGGACAAGGCTGTTCTGCCAAAGAGTGGCCGTAAACAGGATTAGTTGTAATGGGATTATCAACTCAGGACCTGGAGGTCGGAGCTGGAGAGTTCAGTGCTGCCTGAAGGAAAGACACCGAGGTGGCTGGTAGGTGAGAGGGTTACCAAGCCAGGATGAGGGCTGTCCCCCACTGGCTCCCTCTGGCCCAGGGATACCGTCTCTTCTGGGCTGAAAAATGAGTCGTTGTAATTGCAGACTGGCTTTGCAGGAGCAGAACCAAGAGTGGTGGTTCTCAATCAGGGGACATCGGCCAGGTCTGGAGGCATTCTTGATTGTCACATCTGGGGAGGGGGATGCTCCTGGCATCTAGGGGCAAAGGCCAGGGGTACTGCTCCACATCCTGCCGTGCACAGGACAGCCCCCCCCCCCCCCATGGTACCCTTTCTGGGTCCTCAACCTCCTCTGGGCCCATGGCCGGGAAAGACAGGATGAACAGGCTTCCCCCAGGAGTGGTGCTTTCAGCAAGAGCATAACTTAGAAACAGGTCACAGAAAAAACAAAGAGTGGAAACAGAAAGTGAATCAGGGGTATGGGTGTTATATACACAAGGCCTCTCCATGGTCTTCTCTAGAGCTAAGCCAGGGGTCATGTCTGGGTCTCCAGGAAACACAGTTTATTTAAGCCACTGCCTTAAAGTCCTAAAGCTAAGGTAAGCGTTTTCAGTAGAGTGGTCCCAAATTTGACTTTAGGTGTTCTGGCACCAATACTAAATGGGTCACGAGCCCAGCTCTAGAATCCGTGGGGTAAAATCATGGGAGTGGAGAGGGGAGAACAACAGATCTGGAGACTGGGGGGGGGGGGGCAGGGGGCAGGTCAGGAGTTAGGGCACATCTGGCAGTCATCATTAGTACATGGGGTTTATGTCACAGGTGTTCTCTGAAGCTGTGGGACTGGAGGAAATTAGAGACGGACGGAAGTGTGGCACGAGAACAGGACTCGGCATCACAAATGGCAAATAGTCGTGCAGGGTCTTATTTTTTTTTCAAGATTTTATTTATTTATTCATGAGAGACCGGGGTGGGGGGTAGAGGGAGAAGCAGGTTCCCCAAGGAGCAGGGAGCCCGATGTGGGACTCCATCCCTGGACCCCGGTATCATGACCTGAGCCAAAGGCAGATGCTTAACCATCTGAGCCAGAAACTGGGGAGTCATCTTTGACTCATCTGTCTTTCTCCACCTGTAAGTCCAATTTTGCCTCTTAATTAGTTGTTCATTGGTTCATACTTTTCCTTCCCCATTGTCAATTTGCTTATCCCTTAGCATCTCTCACCTGGACATTCCAGCAGTTTCCACCAGTCACTTGTATCCAGGTTTACAACTTCTCAATCAGTCCTCCATAGCACTCTATAATTGTCCTTACACTGTGGGAAGCTGTTGATCTTACTCCATGGTTCAATGACTTCTCATTACCTACCACCAGATAATATTTAAACACAATGTCTGACATGCAACCCTCTTCCTGATTTGCCCTCTTTTTTTCTAGGCTCATTTACAGCCATTTTCCTAGTAAAACCTCATGCTTCTCCTACACATAGTGGCCACCTTCTGAAGAGTGGTGTTATTCCTAATCCTATGCCTTTGTGCCTGAATGCCGTCTACCTGGAGTGCGCTTTCCCTTTATCCCGGTGGATGCCAACTCACCCTTGAAAACTCCGCTCTGTATCAGCTGCTCTTCGAAGCCTTCTCTGAGCCTTTTTCTCTCTGAGCCCTTCTGCTCCCACATCCCTGCACACACCTGCAATCTAGCCCTGAGCAGACTATACTGTAATATCTTGTTTAGGCTTTTGTCTTCCCCACTAAAATCTGAGACCTCCAGGGTGGAGCCTTGTCCTGGGAGTTCTCTCTCCTCTGCAGCTAGCCCGACACTTCTAAATGGTGCTTCCCGGAGTTCTAGTTAACAGGTATTCCTCAAATGAGAATCGACAACCAAATGAGTTTGAGGAAAACTGCCTGCTGACAACACAGGAGCTCAAGGAAGTCTTCAGCAAAAACCTGTCCGATCTGGTTGAAGTAGATCCTTATGACACTTGCGCAAGGGCCAAGCTGGGGACACGCCCAGGGTGACCTGGGAGGACAGAGAAGGGGCTAACTCAGGTTCAAGGGGCTCTGGAAGCCTTTCTGGAGGAAGTGATCTCCATCATTCACAATAGGATAGCCACCAATTTAACCTCCAGGAGGCAAACTTTCGGGTATCCTAACACTTCCAGAGACTGAACTTCAGGACTGGATGTGGCCGTTGGACGAGTTTTATGATGCAAAGAAAGTCCAGGCTTTGGGATATCCTCTTCTCATAGCCATTCCCGTGGGCACACATCACGTTGAACTGGCCTGCCCCAGGCCGAATCACATCCTGCACCTCTACTCACTCAACACCTTCCATCTGTTATCCTATTGTGGGTGATATTTTCCTGTGCATTTCCGAGAGCCCTCCCGTCGCAGTCCTTAGGCTTCCTGAGGGCAGGCGCTGGTCATTTAGCCTGCTTTCCCGTAGACTCTGAAAGTCCCACGCACATACCGGGCACCCAGCACACACTTATTGAAGGCAGTAAGCACAGCGTAATTCAATAGTGTGTGTTTGCCTGGAGGCAGCAAAGACACGGGTGTGAGAACACAGAGCCCGAGCCTCGGTCTGGGGAGGCCTAGGAGGCCTTTTCGGCAGCTGCTGAGGCTGAGGGACGCAGACGATTTGTCTTCTGCTTCTACCTGGAAGCCAGTGAATCCGTGAGTTCCTATTTAACTCGCAGACCTGAGGACGGGAAGAAGGGGCAGAGGGGCATCCCCGACTCGGATATCTAGCACATTTCCCTGAGAAGGCCACTTGTTTCGAAAGCATCGGGCTAAACCTGCGGGTTTGCCCAGAGGAAGCGGCACGTGGGGGTCTCGGACAGGCCCTCTGCTCAGTGCATGGACTGGAATCCTGGCCTCATCCCTTGCTGCCCCTGTGACGCTGGGCAAATTCCTTGACCTCACTGTGCCTCAGTTTTCTCACCTATGAGATGGGGGTGATAATCACAGTACCCACCTCCTGGGGTTCCTCCAAGGACAAAGTGAGTTACAACCTATGTGGTATTGAGAGGAGCGCCTGGCGGGTAGCCAGCGCTATGCAGGGGTTTGCAAAATCAATCCGTCTAGATTAGATTCTGCGTCGGGGCAGATCCAGGCTGAGACGATGAATAACGCTCAGATGGTGTGGATTACCGTAGCGCTGTCACCTACGCCTCGAAATAGTAATAAAAGCTTGCACTTCGATTGTCTGATTCCACCCCACCGTCTACGAAGCGGTGTTCTTTTCATGTCTTATAGAGAAAACAGGCCCAGAGGTAAGCAGGCTCAGGGCCATCCAGCCCTGCATCAGGTGACGGAACCAGGCTTCTGGCTCTGAAGCCCAAACCTTCTCATCAAGTGACATTCTCTCCTGGGGCATGTTTGGGCTCGAGGCAACCCAGGACTTCCCATGACTTGTGGCTTGGGAAGCGGCTCACAAACCTCCCACATCGCACAATTCATGTCGTATCTCACTGACACGTTTAGAACGAATTGGTACTTTTATTAGAAAATTTAAACTGGCATGTGACACTTTTTTTTTTTTCTAGCATACTACAATAAAAAGTGAGCCTCTTTCCACCCTCACCTTCTCTATCCCCACCAGTTCCATGCCCTAAAGTCTCGGGCTAACGTTTCCAAAACAATCTGTGCTTTTGTAAACATCTCCTTTATCATATGTAGAAATGAGGTCATACCTCATACACAGGTGTCTTCCTTTGGTTATTTAACATTTTATTTTATTTAAAGATTTTATTTATTTATTTGAGAGAGAGAGAGACACATAGTGACAGAGATAGCGAGAGAGAGAGCCCAAGCTGGGAGGAGAGGGAGAAGCAGGCTTCGGCTGAGCAGGGAGCCTGATGTGGGGCTCGATCCCAGGGTCCTGGGGTCAGGATCTGAGCCGAAGGCAGATGCTTAATGACTGAGCCACCCAGGAGCCCCGGTTATTTAACATTTTAAATCCAAATACTCTTACTTGTGGAATCTTCTTGCACTTGTTGGGATGTTTTTGCTGTGAATCTACTGATGGCTTAGGGTTCCAGCTGGGGACACAGATCCCGCAGTCTCCCTGGGCCTCAGGTCACATCTAAGAAGGGGCCTCCCAATGTTCTTTGTGCACCTCACCCCTCTGCAGATCAGAGCAGGGGCCTGAGCTGGAACTGTGTCTTGTTTTCACCCAACAAGGCTTTCTCTACAGCATGGGAGCTTGAGCATTCAAGCTTCAGCATTCAGTCTTTCCCAAGTCCTCCGGCCCCTCTTCTCTATCACCTGGATACACCACCCCACACACACCAGCTCGGAGCCTCTCCTTTCTCCAAACTATATGGAAAATTCCGGTAAGTTCTTGCTTCTAGCAGGATAGAGACTTTTATAAGAGAGTGAGTGGAGCAGGCCATCAGCACACGACAGCCAGCTCATCTTGAAATGGGAGAGCTGGAGGCCCCAGAGATTAACCTACTTCTTTCTCTCTCTCCATTTGACAGACAAGGAAAGCCATGCTCAGAGAGGGTAAGTAACTTCCCCTAAATCCCACAGCAAGCCAGTGACAGAACCAGGACTATCCGAAGATAGGTGAAGTCAGGTGCATGGGGTTACATGCAGTAGTATAGATAATACATGTCATGAACTCGGAATTAATTTGGAGGTGATCCTGACAATACCATACCACATCTTTCAATGCATCATTCAGAATATGGGACTGTGCATTAACTCTATCCCTATCTCTCAAGAGAATGTGTCTTTCAGAAATGATCTATGCGTTTATAAACATTTTTTTTTCAAAATATACCAATGAGATCATACTTTCATAGATACAAGCTTCATTGCTCATATCCCCAATGTACAGATGAGGCAGAGAGGCCCGCGGAATGACTCAGCAGCTCAGCACAAGAATCTCTTGGATGTCTGCCTGGACTTCTGTCAGATCTACTTGGTTGACTTTCTATTCAGTATTATTACTGAGGTCTTATTGTTACGAACATGTTCTTTGGGTTTCCTGCTTATCTCTGAGCTGAAGAAAATGTGTTTTTTTTCCTGTTTGCTTTTCAACCTTCAGCTTCCATGACCTTAAAAAAAAAAAAAAAATGTAAGCACAAGCTGAGCTGGTCTAAAAGCAGCCTGTTTGCAACGTGATATGGAACCTGGACCGCGACCAGCTAAACCTTGGTGTAGTGTTCTCCAAACACATTTCAACAATTTTTCCAAGTGGCAAGTAGTTTATTTCCACTGAAACACTTGAAGGTGCTGAATTAACAGTACATTTCCTAAACTATTGAATAAGTGGTGGTAAAATGGCAGTTTCTAAGTCCGAAGGGGAAATTGCAAATACATACATACATACATATATATATTTTTTTTTTTACTTCGAAGCTTAGACACTATTAAACATTCCTAGCATTCAGCCAAATGCATTTTCAAAGTTAGAATCAGTTCATACAACATTTTCATAGTCCATAGTTTTTATTAAGATTGATATTTGATGAACTGTAACCTCTAACATCACTTTCTGCTTTAAAATTTATGATTCTCTATAAAAAGAAAGTCATATGCTCCCTAAACCCAGAAAAACCTGATGAATTATGTGAACTGACTCTGGAAAATGTTTCTGAATTGTTTTCTGTGTGTTTCAAGAATTTACTGTACATTTATAAAATACATATATATAGTATGTATATGTATATAACACATACATATGATATATATAACAACATACATAAAATATAGAGAGAGTGTTATCCATTGTTTTACCAAAAGCTACAACTGCCTTTGTCAGTGTAGACGTAAGGAGGGATCTTTTGTATGAGAATATCCTAGAAAAGCAACGATGAGATGATGTTCCTTTCTGAGCTTAAACGGTAGAACTACATGACTTAAGTTATGGAGTCAGGACTAATTGCAGGCTTTGGATGTTGCTCCCTTTTGTCCTCTGTAACCTCCCTTTCCTCTTTTATCAAAGGAGGGAGAGCGAGTAGGTAAATCTGACTGAATTTATGAGAGTAGAAGGAAATGTGGTATAACTTTTCAGGTCCCACTTCAATACCTCTGACTAATGAAACATTAATTATAGTGTCAAATAAATTTTGAGAAGAGTTCAAAGCCAAGTTTTCTCTTCTTTTCATTCCATTGACTTACCATCTGGGAAGCTTGCCTTATTAAGAACAGCTGCTTCTCATTGGCTGTTCTCAAGAGTCCGACCCAAATGTGACATGCTAGTCCTTCAAAGGTGGCGTTCAAGTCCCCTGCCAACCCTTCTACACACCTTTGATGTTTCCCTCCACCAGCCCCAAAGTTCAACCAACACTTTAGCTCTTTTTGAAGAGTCTGCAACTGCTCCCCCACCTCCTGGCTCCCTTTGTCTGGAGCCTAGTGTGGCCAGCTGAAGTCTCTCTTGCCACCCACGGCTGGCCTACAGTCATGGGCACTATGATCACCTTCACGGTTTTCTTTGCTGCCTTGACCAGAATCACCATCTCCACCAGTGTCTTCACCAACAAGCCATCCTTGCCTTCCTCTGCCAATAGTTACAAAAGCCATGCCCACGCAGTCACCACCAAATTCTCCATCAGAGCTTCTGCTGCTAAATAGGTCAAGGCTACACCACCAGGGGCAATTCCCCACGCTCCCGGAGGGCATTTGGAGACATTTTTTTTAGTTGTCACAACGCAGGGCCGGGAGTGGTATTGACATCTAGTGGGCGGAGGCCAGCAGTGCTCCTAAACATCCTACCATGCACTGGGCAGCCCTTCACAACAAAGTTTCCAGCCCCAAATGCTAATAGAGCCGAGGTTAAAAAAACAGACTGCTCTCAGAGATAGTGGAGGCCTTTGTTTCTCTTTTTTTCTTCACCTTTGGCCAAAAGACTAAAATGAAACAAAACAAAATCTGTCCTCCAGGCACACACCTGGAGCTGCCATCCTCTTCCCCACTCCTCAGCTCGGGACTGGAAAACACAAGCGGGATCTGGTAGAACCAGCCTTGTCATTCCCCATGTGGGGCTGGGACAGAGCAGGTCCATCTGGGCAGAAGAACCCATTCAGACCAGTGGTTTTGCACCCTGGCGACACATCAGGTTCATGTCATTTCAAGTATTTTAAATATTTAGAATACCTAGACTACAGATACTCAGAATCCAAACTGGACTGGTCTGGGATCAGGTCTGGGTGATAAGTTTTTGAAAGTCTCAGCTAATACCAACGTGCAGCAGGAGCTAGCTAATCATCCCCTGTACTAGCAGTCTGATTGGCGCGGGGAGGACAGATCTCCCCAAAGAGCTGTAGGATATTACTTTTGGAGACCCTTTAGCACTGTAAGACATGCAACTTTCCAGTAGGAGAGAAGGTCTTTTAACTGTGTGGCCAATCTGGGTCATCTGGGAAAATTCAAATTATTTGAGGGTCTTTGTTCAGTCTTTCTATACCTTGATCTGGGGCTTACACTAATTTTTAATATTTGTCAAAATCAAGAAAAAAGGGTGAATCAAAGGTTAAAAGCTATCTTTATAATTAAGCACTTTCTGCTAGCTATTTATTTGTCTTGGGGGAGAAATGCCTTTTTCCTATTGTAGAAAGATAAAATAATTGTAAATTAAAGCTTTGAGATGAATTATGTCTTATGAAAAATAATGGGACAGTATCATAAATCACAAGCATTGTCTCTATGAAATATGACCAGTCTAATTCTGTGCATTTCCTCCCTGTTTCAATACAATAGAATCTTTATGAGGCAAATTAATTTAGCATTAACCTTGGAACTGTCACTGTGCTTTCACTGATGAAAATGATAAAATAAAAATACTTTTCAATGCTCAAGAATCTCATTAAATAATCTGTAACTTAAGTAAATCATATCTAATTTCTATTTCTTTTCTTTTTTTTTAAGATTTGATTTTTTTATTTGAGAGAGAGAATGAAAGAGAGAGAGCACAAGAGGGGGGAGAGTCAGAGGGAGAAGCAGACTCCTTGCTAAGCAGGGAACCCGATGCGGGACTCGATCCTGGGACTCCAGGATCATGACCTGAGCCAAAGGCAGTCGCTTAACCAACTGAGTCACCCAGGCGCCCCTCTATTTCTTTTCTTATCCTTCTGTAGCCACACCCTCAGCATCATACAGTAGAATAAATATGGGACCCCAAGTTGGGAAGCCCAGACAGAGTCTAGTTCCTGCCCTGGTACCACTTTAGCAAGACACTTATCTTCTCTAGACTGCTTCCTTGCCGGGAAAGTGAAGGTGTCACCAGGTGATATGTAAGCTCTCTTTCAGGTTTGGGAATTAGCAAGAAGGCAGACTACCACTTTGACACTCTTAAATAGCAGTGAGGTAACTGGTTTTGTGCCTTGGCATATAATGTGGAAATACGGTACATATCAGTCAACAAATATTTACTGAGCGTTCTCTCTGCAAAAAATATGGGGCATTGTTATGGAAGACTCAAAGAAATCGCAATTATACCTCCAAGGTTTTACTTTCAATAAGATTATAATTTAATTGGGGAAATAAACAGTTTCATCACACCAAAAAATTCAAAAGTGACAATTGATATTTCATTAAATACACAAATATTTTTTGGACAACTATTGGATGAGTTAGACCTTAATCTGATAATGACTATCACAGAAAATCATGCTGATATGCTCAGGGAAAAGTTGTGACTTTTCTTCCTTTATATAAACTACAGTAATACAGCTACATTAACACTTCAGTTAGGGACATGGTGTTATCTACTATCTCAAGCATCTCTCACACTTACTACTATGAAATTAACATTTGTTTATACGATTCCTGGGTAATTCTAAAAATTCTCTCCCTATGATCTGCTCCTCCAGTTGAGATGATCATCTCTCTTGTGTCCCATTGAATGTTTTAAGTGGAGAGCTGGTGGTCATCAATAATTTGGTAGCTAATTTAATCAAATATGCATTAATTGAGCACTTAGTAGGATATGTGCATCTTGAGCATTGTGTTAAATGTTGGCAATACATACAGAAAGTAAATATTATTTATAACCTTCCTATATAGTCCATAGTCAAGCAGGGAAAAATACATAGAAACAGTTAAATTTCCTGTGACAAATATAATAACGTCCGTTCCATGTTTGGAGGTAGCTCATTCATTCATTCATTTAACAGATGCATCTTTAGTGCCAGTTTCTCTGGTCACTATCCAAGGCATGCAATAAACATCAGGAAAAAAAAAAAAAAAACCAGACACAGTCCTTACCCTTCTATGAGCTTACAGGTTAATAGAAGAACAGACATTGAACAAGTGAACAAACAAACAACAAAACTGTATGTTATTTCTGAAAATACTAGGTTCTGACTGTAAAGGAAGCAAATTGGGCACAGTGATAATGGGAGGGGTAGACCTCCACTCCTGAAGTGGACTGGAAAGCTTTCTCAGTGTCTTAGTGGAGAGATGAACTGAAGGGCCCATCATGCAAAGAGCAGAGGTGAGGGTCCCCAGGTCAGGGGACACAGAATGGGCTAAGTCTTGGAGACAGGAGGGACTTGGAGGACTTGCAATGGGCATTGTCGTTAAAAGAGGAGAGTGGTGGAGATGAGGCTGGAGGCAGGTCATGTTGGATTATATGGACCACAATCAGGAATTTTATTTAAAGCTCAATGAGAAGCCATAAGGGATATTAAATTGGGGATGGCAGTGATCCAGGTCACAGGTGGTTTTTCTGTGTATCTGACTTAGGTTTTAGAACATTACTTTGGGTGCTGAACAGAGACTGTATTGGAGTGGAATATTTGTGGTTATAGGGAGACCATATGGGAGGCTGAGGTGACCTGGATTGGGCTGGTGGCAGTGAAAATGCAAAAAAAAAAAAAAAAAAAAGGAGCCGGGGCTGGATCTGAGGTTTACTTTGGAGAAAGAAGCAATAGGGCTATGACCGATGGGGGAGAGTGAGGGACGAGAAGACCCACAGGACGGAGTCAAGGAGGCCACTGCACACACAGGCCTGAAGCTCAGGGAAGATCTCAGGGCTGGGAACAGAAGTCAACAAGCCTCTGGCAACCGCATGGTGTCAAAGGACAGGAACGGATGAAGACACTCACAGAATTAA